GATGGATGGATGGATGGATGGATGGATGGATGGATGGATGGATGGATGGATGGATGGATGGATTTTTGTACAATGTACCCCTTCAAACTTAAAATGCACATTTGCATATTTTTAGAAAAATGGAACAAAATCGCAGCTTAAGGACAATTCATGACACTGTGTCCTCAAAGATACAGAACACCTCAGAACTGGACTGTTGTGGAACTCCAAATGTTATCTGTTCTGGTCCCTGCACATCACACAATCAGTAATATTGCCTTTAATATAAGAAACGGAGGTACATCCATTAGCAACTCTCATGCCGTCAAGGTTTTCAATTGGCATTTTACAACAAGAGCGTAATAAAATTCCTGAGATTATTTTACAGTTTTTAGTTTTGGTGTGGCACCCCAGGATTTTCTCTGGCCACCACTGCAAAGCTGTGGTAAATGGACTAGGGGTGTGCAGGGTGCTGCAGCATACCCTGGAGAATCGTAAAGGACATGTACGCCCAACATATAAAAACAATATAAAATAATTGACTACTAATATGTAGATATCTGATGATAACCTGATGGCAACGAGTGGTTAATGCATATTAATATCTAATGAATTTATTATATTAATATATGTTAAGTAATAATGTTTCATGACTTGTGTCATCTCACAGTTCTTTTCACAGAAACTGTGAGCTTCTGAGAGCTAACTGTGAGGAGGTAGGGACCAATCTGTGCACTTATTAAATATACGACTGCTATTTTCACATATACGTAGAAATTGTCAGTTAAACATGGTTTAAATTTACATCATACAAGTTGAAAAGAACTTCCAATGTTAATTTATGACATAATCGTATTATTGTTCAAATATTTGTTTAAGGTCATCCAGCTTCTTTCAATCTAACTCATAAAAGTTCTCATCCCCTTCACAGATGAAACATCTCCCTCAGCTATAGCAAGGGACACACTCCATAATTAAATGTAGAATATTAACAGAGCATCTTGTGTATACTAGCCACACCACATCTGCAGCTTTGTCTATGATCTTTGAGTTTAGCCCATCTGTTTCCTCAGGGGGAAGGCTGTCCTACAGCAGTGCCATGATCTTTGACATACCATAAGGCACACACGATATGGGGAAATGTAAATGGATTCACACTTATAATTAAAGAATGTATTTTTTTGAAAGCATGTTTTCCCCAAAAGTTAATGTCATAACCTTTACATTATAACTTGATTTGAAAAACCTGCAACCCCCAAATCCCATATTATTTGCATTTTTGTGCATACGTTGTGTCATGTTTTCTGTATTTTCTTCCTTTGGCTCAGCTTCAGTGGGAGGAAAACTCAGGGACAAATTCTATCCAGCAGACTAGCTCAGAGAGGAAGAGAAAAAAACCCTAAAACTTCACTAAATATTTTATCAGAATATTTTATGTGCTTCTGCTTGGCTGTGGTCTGTATCTCCATTTTTAAATGCATTAACAGAATGATAGCCAACACACGCTTAATATTGATATCAGGGTTGCTTTAGCCAGAAGATTGGAGCAGCATTGGGACTGTTTGCCTGTCTGTCTTCTGAGATGAATCACGGATGCTCTCTCTGATTTGACTGCACGTTATTTAACTGCAAGAGGGAAACTCACAGGGTATAATCTGTCCAGAGGCTTTCCATACATGTCTGCACTTTTTCAGGGCAGAAATGGTAATTTAGTAAAATAAGCAGAACAGATTCAATAGAAAAGACACACTAAAAGAGTCTTTGTTCTACATGTATGCATGTCTAAAGGTGTTTTTGCACATGCGCTAATTAGAACCAGAGGGAGAAGTTTCCACAGTCATGATAAATTCAACATCAGGAAATCCTTTACCTATTAATACCAGTCGGGCGACAACAATTGGAAGGCCATCGACAGCGTGGGCAGAATTAATAATTTGAAGAGGCAGACTTGACTGAATTTTTAATTGGGAGAGGCAGCCACTGTTTAGGGAGGCAACCAACTGATCACCAGAGAGACTGCTGCTTCAGACAATGTGCGCTTGCTAATCCTCTCGAGTCAAGTTATTATGGCCATGCATTATTATCACGCTTTACAAACTAATTCCATGTTTTCCCTCGTGGATTACCAAGGGGGGAAATGGTTGCATAAGAGAACAGGAAAATATGAAATGCACAGAGAACAGTGTGGACGAAATGAAAAATAAAACGACAGCGTGCGCAAAGCGGTGTGTATGAATTGTCACGGTCCATCTGAGCGTTCGTCAGCGTAAATGTGCCTCTTGGATGGAGCTGTCCCAGTCTTTCCATAATCCCATTTTGTTAAATAGCATGATTAAATATAAAAGATCGTGGACATGTGAGCATTTGGTTGTGTTTTGTTAATTGTGCAGTCAGGCTTTAGTTCAGTCTAGGATATTTAATTTGACTGAACTCTACTTATTCTCAACTAATTGGCTGTTTCTGATGAGGATACACATTCAATTTGAGGAGGGTGTATAGAGAAAAAAAGGTTTTTAATAAATAGCAAGGTTCATGCTTAATAATCCAGGTCAAAAAAATCCAATAATATTCAGTCAGGTCATCTGGACAGTTTTTTTTTTTTTTTATGAGATGTTTCATCCTTCATCCAAAGGACTTCATCAATCTGAGGAGCCACAAAAAAACATCACTCCCACAAGCAGCACATTCCCATAGTGGACCAACCAGTTTGCTGGTGATAAGATGGTTTCTGGGGGCTGCTCTCTCCCCAGTCGACTCCTCCCAGGCAGCCACAGCCGGAGTGGTTCAAAACATCAAGTGTTTTAATAGAAGTTTGCCCAAAGATCAGAGTAATGACCCCATCCTTCTGCATTCAAACATTTGTTTTCTGTACAACCAAGATTAAACCCTCTTGTATCAATTTAATCTGTGAATAGATGAAAACACAGACTGTTTTTCTTACCATTTTTGAACTCTTCTTTAAGAGACAGTATTTTTTTATTTGTGTTTTGAGTTAACTGACGCCCAGTGGGCACGAATAAGATCATATGATTCTCACTGAGGGCGAGCACGCATGTGTAACACCACAGAACTCAAAACTACACGTCTACTACCCTATAGGGGCATGAACGTATAGAAGAAGAAGAAAAATAGAACAGAAGCAGAGAGAAAACTTTTTTTCAGAGAAACAACTGAGCAAGCTGGTGACAATAAACTGAAATGTGACAACACTGAGCCACTGAGATTGTTATAGGAACTTATTTCACTTAAACTGCATAAACCCTTAACAAACATTTCATGTATGCATGTGGAGTAAATATATTTCTAGATATATGACTATAGGAGCCACAAATTTTTGTTTTTTAACAAAATATACTCACTCAAATAGTGCAACCATGGTGCAACTTTAGGCAATGATTGTAAATGCACAAAATACCCCAAACCCCATGTTGCTAAATAAAGGTTAAACTGCATCAACTGGTTTCCCAAGTTTCAACCTTTCAAAACAAAATAAGCAAATAAGAACAATAATATCCAGACCGTTATAAAAGAAAAGCTTTGCAACTATAAAAGGCACTCAGTATGATTGTTTTGTGGCTGTAATGAACATTTCTCTTCATATCACTGAAATGATACTTAGTGTTCAGCATGCAACATGTTTCCAAATGGCATTCCTATTACAGTCATGTGTCATATCTAAATGTCACAGCAACAACTGTACAAACAATCCATGTGGTAAGAAGGTCCAATAAGGGACTAAAAATTTCAAAGCCATAATTAAAAATTTTTTTTTTTAAAGTCTTCTCCATATTTATGATCTGTGATCTAGAAAATCAGAGATTAAAACTCATTCATCCAAAACAGTTGCTCAAATCAAACATTTAGAGCACATGGGGGTTAAAATTGTACTTTAATATAAAATGCTGACTGATGTGTGCTTTTTGTAGAACCTGCGTGGATGCAAATAATAATGTTTAAAATGTCTGAGACTATTGATGGATGATGATGATGATGATGATGACGTCTACTGAGCGTGGGATTGGGGGAAAGGGGGGGGGGGGGGGGAGACTCTGTGAACTGGTTTTCAATCTGAACATCGTGTATTGTTTGCTATAACAAACTTTCCTCAGCCTGCATTTTGAAGTTGTCACTGTAGCCTAAATATATCCAGAAAGCTGAGTGGATGTGCTCATCCTTCCAGTTCAGCAGCAGGTAACGCAGCATCACCGTCTCCCTCCGTCATCTCGTGACAGCTCGCGCGCTCTTTCAGGGACACGCATCGGCAGGAGCAGATTCAAGCTGCCGCGCGTTATCAATAAAGCTTTTTTTTTCTTTTTTTCTTTTTTAATAGATATATATATAAATGAATAACAAAACAAACAAAGGAAAAATATATAAAGGCTGCTTAAAATCCTCCGAGCGCCTCTGCCCCACTTCTTTAGAAATGATCTCAATTATTTTCTGGATGGGAATGAACATGTGTGATTTCATTATTGCTTGTTTGCCTTTGTGGTTTAACAAAAGTCTATTTTATCCAATTAAAATAATGAGTGATGGTTAAAAAAAATAAATAAATAAATACAAAAAATAAAACGCAGACCAAATATAGTGATAAAATGAAAAGTGACATTTCTGTTGTAAATGTGCGCTCCTGCTCCCTGCGGCCCCCGGGGGGACGACACGTTACCTTTGTGCATGCCGGTGTAGCGGTCCTTGAGAACTGTCAGTTCGTGGATTTTCCCAAACTGTTCAAACAAGGGTTTCAGGTCTTTCTCCTCCAGGTTCCGCGGAATCTGCCCGATAAACAGCTTAATGGCATCTTGGTCTTTCATGTTGCCGCTCTCCGGATGAATGCAAATGGGTTCTGAGCCGTTCATGGGTTTCGGGTGTGTGATCTGGGGGTACTGGTGCTGGTGTGGGAGGAGTAGGAATGGTTGGTGGGTCGGTGGTGCCCCCGGTCCGGTGAAAACCAGGCTGGAGTGAGCGGGCTGCTGTGGATGGTGCTGCCTTCTTGTTTCAGTCTGAGTGAATCTGGCCATTCTGAGCTGGGAGCAGAGTGGATAATAATGACAACACACACACACGTACACACACACGCGCGCGCTCACTCGCTGTGAGAGAGCAAGCACTCAGCTGGAAACCAGGCTGACTTTCTATCCGACACACAACGCACCCGCACGCACAGTAAAGGGGGGGCGCACTGATGCGTTATCAGACGCTCTGGAGCGACACCCAGTGGTCTTCAGCTGCAACATCAACTTGGAATAAAAGCTTGAGGCCAACTCACGCTCGTTGTGTTTTTGCACGTGTTGCGTGTGCGTGTTCGTTTGTCTGTGTGTTAGCAACCTATCTCACGAGCTGCTGGGGTTGTAAGGAAACCTGCAGGAAGTAACCCCTGGATGCAGTGGCGTAGTCTACGTGATAGAGTATATGGAGTATAGAAAAGCTTAAGAGTTTCTGTATACTCATTTAAAAGTGCCCAATGACACATGACATATCATTAGACACGTGCCATAGATATGTTAAATGGAAGTTGAATGCTTCCTATGGTATGCAGCACTTTGCTTTGATACTGTTTTCTTCATTCTATAACATGTTTTTTAATACAAAGCCAACTGTTAAAGGCTGTTGTTCATTTATTCAAATATAAGCATCAGAGAAATTTGGAAATGTTCAATATGCTTAAAAATCTAAATAAATTGACAATTACATTGTGTACTTTGGTTTCTGAGCACAGTATACCCACTTCAAAAATGTAGACTACACCACTGCCTGTACATCTACAACTGATTACCTTCATATTTAACTACTTGTGAATTCATTTTTGTAGCACTTGTGAACTATTGCTTCACTTTGACAGCAACACAGCAGAATAAATTCCACAACAGGAGCTTTAACTGGGAGGAAAAGCACAGGTTTGGCCCATAACGTCACCAGTGCAAGTCTCCCATTATAGTTTCTCAGTGCTTATGTGAAACCAAAGACTGGCAAAAAGAAGGATGGGTTTCAGGCAAGGAAGATGTCACTGCAAATCAGGTGTGGACTGTTGACAATAATGTGTACATTTAATTGAGAAAGAAATCAGTCCAAAGGATGAGAGGATGTATTGTCCTTTCAACTCTTAAACTTAAATAATCATGTTAATGAGGGGTGTGGAAAAGGTTAAAAAATAATGAAACCCCACTTCTCAGCAGACACATTTTGGTTAAATAAAATAAAAAAATTGTCAACAGACGGTTTAATTTAAACAATCACTGCAATATTTTACAATTATTGGCTGTGGTAGCTAGGTGGTCAGTGTTGCGGGCTTGCAAATCCTGAGGTTGTAGTTCAAGCCCAGGTTGCATCAAAAAGGGCATCCAGCATAAAACTATTGACAACTCTTTCACAGTGGCACCCCCTGAAGAAGGGAGCAGCCGAAAAAAACCTTACTTATTGCAGTATTTCACAAATAATGCAAAAACCAGCAAGAACTGACTCTCTACAAATCTTTACACTCAAAATGATTTTATTAAATAAGTTGCATACTTGAAAAAATAAAGGAGCCAACATTTATTTTACAAACTAGATCCTATAAACAGCTGAGCAAAGTGGCTCAGTTGGTAGAGCTGTTGACGCTCAGCGAGAAGGTTGCTGGTCCAAATCCTGGCCGGGGACCTTTCTGGGTGGGGTTTATATGTTCTCTCCATGCATTTGTGGGTTTTCTCTGGGTACTCCGGTTTCCTCCCACAGACCAAAAACATGCATGTTAGACTGATTGGTAACTCTAAATTGTCTCTAGGTGTGAGTGAGAGAGTGAATGGTTGTTTGTCTCTATGTGTCCCTGTGATGGACTGGAGACGTGTCCAGGGTGTCCCCGGCCTCTCACACAGTGATAGCTGGATATGAGCACCAGTGACCCCTGCAACTCGAAAAGGAAGAAGCGGGTAAAGATAATGGAAGGATGGATTCTATTTATCTCCTCCCCATTTTCTCCTTAAATCATGATCCGGTGTAGGAAAGAGGTTCTTGTATTACTGTTAATTGCAGAAGTTGCATGCTGGACAATGTAGGTTTTCTTTGAACACAGCAAAATCAGCAGTGTTAAAATAACAGAGTCAACGTGCAATGACTCTATCTGAGTTTATAAAACACGGTTGTGAGTTGTGACAAATCATGGTGTCAAAGTAGCAGGTGTTGAGAATACTCTGGAAAGCTCCTCCCACCGATTTCAAATAATCTGAATTTCTGCCCGCTCCATTTTCTCCTCGACCGAGCAGAGGAAAGTTGACTTAGTAATAAATTAAGAATGTGTAATTTTAACTTAATTATATTGCATGCATATCTGTCAATATAATTATAACTTGTACAGTTATCTCAGTCTTTTCAGGAAAAATAATTTTAGTGTAGTCTAAAAAAGTTAAATCTGGTCCTCTGGACATAATAAAAAAAAAATTGTAGAAACTTTTGGTCTTGAGTGAATTTAACACCGGAATTTCAACTTTTATGAAAGAGTAAATTTAACACCAATTCTGAGTGGGACCAAATACACTCTGAAACAGTGTCAAATTTGACTCTTTTAGTGTTGATTTAACACTGCAAAATTTACTGTGAAGGTTATTAGATGAAAATATTAGTTTATACAGCGAGCAAAATAAAAGAAAGAAGAGAGGAGACAAGATCAGCATCCATGTTTACAAAGATCAAATGCATCAAATGCAAAAGACAGAAGGTCTAAGACATTAAGGGTAATGATGTCATTGACCTGTTTGTTCAACAAACATTCAACAAAAACTTCAGTGATCAGATTGTAAAAACAGGGACAAAACTAAAAACAAGAACCTTTGTTTTAGGTTTAAAGTTTGAAAGAGTCCCCCCCCCCCACACACACACACACACACACACACACACACACTCTGGGAGTGAGCTGTTTGTGGGATTCAGTTTGATTTGGTAGCTCCTCATACTAAAGAAGTCCTTTTAAAAAAAAGTGTGTGTGTGTGGGGGGGGGGGGGGGGGCAATGAAACCTCTCAGCAACAAAATAAACCAGATGAACTGACTGAACATTGTTGGATTTATACCTGGATTGCATGAACTTTGGAGTCTTGCTCTTGGACCGATATATGGGAAACTTAATTGAAGCTGAGGATGAATGAGCTAAAAAAAAAAAAAAAAAACCTTGATCTTGTATTCAGAGATGAAGATTAACAACTGCAAATGTTTGGCTGCAGATATTCTCGCACAAAACTGAGAGCAAATGTTGCCACTTTTAAGAAAATTCAAAATTGTTTTTCATCACTTGTGGTTACAGTCCGGATTGTGTTTAAAGTTATTTCTCTTTTAAAGTGTATTTGCCAATTCAACAACAAAGAAAAAGTAATAAGGAAAAAAGATTTATGATTAAAAAAAACAAGTTTTACATTTATCTGACTGTTATATTAAAAATAATTAGGAATCATATTCTTTTCTCCTAATGTTTCTGGAAACTGTCAGTATTTTAAAGTTTTGTCACATATAAAAACTTTATCATATAATAATACTGTCATAATATATCCAATCACTTTCAAACTACAGTTCTCTATTATTCACCTGGTGCCACTTCGGGACAATTTAGCCGAACTTTGGGATTTGATCCAATTCTGTTACTTCCCTGCTCTGACATTAGAAAACGCTTATTATAAAAAGTCCTGTCATTCATCAACTTGTCAAGGGACCAACAAACATTAACCGCGATTAACAGACCTATACTGTAAATATTTTTCAAGCAACGTGCAGGTTAATTCCCCAAGAGAGCTTTATTTGCATCATTTGCCTTCTCTGTGCAGACACTGTCAATAGCATGCCGACTAAAATACTTTGTGGGAGAAATAAATAAATAAATAACTGGGAAAAGAACTGCTCCAGGAGCATTAAAGCGGTACAGTCCAGGCACATTTCCAGCTCCACCACAAAGCACCCTTTAAATAAAACACATCTGGCGGACAGATTTCTAATTACAGCCTATTTAACAGTGGATTAAATGAAGTGATATACTGTCTGTGACAGCAGGATCAGGGTTGCGAGGTGAATCAATACTGTTGCCTGCTGCTGCTTCTCTCACCGTGAGGGAAGAGCACCACAGGGGTGCCCTCCTCAGAACATTCTCTTCCCAATAACTGCGTGTGAATGAACTGCCTTCAGCTGCCTGCGCTGCTCCAGGTCTGCCACGGGACATCGAAGGAGAAAGGACAGCATCACTTCCAACTGGCCCTGTGAGTGGTAGAAACGGACTGGTCAACAACTTTGGCGAGTTAAAAAAAACAAAAAAAAAATAACTATGAACTATCCATCCATTATCTTCTGCTTATTCTGAAGTCGAGTCACGAGGGCAGCAGAGCAGGGAGACCCAGACATCTCTTTCCACAGCCACCTCTTCCAGCTCTTCTGGAAGGACCCCAAGGAGTTCCCAGGCCAACCGAGAGACATGGTCTCTCCAGCGTGTCCTGGGTCTTCCCCGGGGGCTCCTTCCAGTCGGACATGCCCAATGCACCTCCCCAGGAAGGCACCCAGGAAGCATCCTTACCAGATGCATGAACCACCTCAACTGGCTCCTTTCGATGTAGAGGAGCAGCGGTTGTACTCCAAGTCTCTCCTGGATAACTGAACTTCTCACCCTATCTCTGAGAGAGTCCAGCTACCCTGTGGAGAAAACTCTTTTCAACCGCCTGCATCCACAATCTCATTCTTTCAGTCACTACCCAGAGCTCATGACCATAGGTGAGGGTAGGAACGTAGACCAACCGGTAAACAGAGAGCTTTGCCTTACAGCTCAGCTCTCTCTTCACCACAACGGACCGGTACAGAGTCCACGATACTGCAGACGTTACACCACTCCGTCTGTCATTCTCACACTCCATTCGTCCCTCACTCATGAGCAAAACCCCGAGATACTTGAACTCCTCCACTTGAGGCAGAAACTCACCCTCGACCCAAAGAGAGCAAACTATGAACTACATTTATGAAACGGCTCTTTTATTAGGTGGGGACAAATAGATCTATTGAACTCTGTCCATACCATTTCTTTTCTCAAGCACAATAATCGCAGAAGGAGGGGGCA